AAGCGAGTCAAGCGACGAGTTACGGAAAGGATCCATTGATAGTCGAAGGGGGACTGATGACGCGATCGAGGACGAAGCGAGTGAAAGAAGCGATGGGATTGCTTGTCAAGCAAACGATCGATGAAACAATGTTCGGGAGGTCAAATGGAACAAGTTTCATGTTCGGGTCGAAGGCCGAAGGAACTTGGATCAACGAGATAAAAGCGGACGAAGGCGGCACGGAGTTGGTCTATGCGACCGCAGGCTCAACGGCCTATGCGGCCGCATAGAAGGCCACCGAAACTACATGTGGCTGGCTGGAGTGATCTATGCGACCGCATAGAAATGATCTATGCGGCCGCATAGATCAAAAAGTGGGAAAAATTCGTTTTTTTTAAATTTTTTGCCGAATCTTCTAATGTTGGTAGAACTCTTGTGAAATCAAAATATTACCATATTTTGATTAATTTGGACGTTTTTTTATGCCATAGTATAAATAGAAAACTCTTTTCATGATGTAAAAAACTTTTTGCTGAAATTAATACAGAGAGATAAATTTTCTTTCAATCGATTGTTCTTCATTTTACAAACTTAGAACTTATCAAGATTTGATTTCTTGTGGCGTTCTTGACGTCAGATTGTGGGTTTCATTGATTGTAATCAAGGGGTTTCAGATTCTTCGCTAATCTAAGGTTTCTTGGTTCGATTATTGGGGTTCAAGATCTAAAACCGGATTAGTATTGGCGTTATTGGGTTCCGCATCAATCTAGTTGTGGCTTTCGTAGTTTCCATTGCTACGGGGTTCGTATCAACGACCTAATTGGAAATTGAGTTCTTTTGAATTGAATTGAATTGAATTGAATTTTGATCACTTTTTAGAGGTATAAAAGGGATCCTCGGCAAAAAAACATATTTTCCACAATATTCACCGGATGTGATTTCTGCAAGAATTACATTTTTTTCAAATTTTCGACAAGTAAGGCGTGTCCCGTTACATAACCCTTCTGAAGGATTGATGTTTCGTAATAACATCACAGGACAGTTCATCTTAAGTATCAATTCATGGGGTGGAATGCCATTTAAGGTTAGACAATTTAAAAAATCTTCTTGCAAGCTTTGTTCTAATTTATCAATTACCTCATCAAAACTATAATATGCATAACTTTCACCAGGAATTTGTTCAAGTAAAATTCTGTTAATATGATCAACACATTCATTTGTAGGTGTAAGAATAACTCGATTTGTCATCGCTTGGAGATCATCAGCATATGTTTCTATATCTGGAAAAACATGATGTATCAAATTTTTTAAGAATGAAATTTCATCTTCAAGTGGTAAAACTATATCCTCTCGAAGTTCAATGCATTTACAAGTATGCTCTTTCTCTATTCCATCTCCAATTCTTAGCAAGTAACTATAGAAAGTGGGATCCAATTTAGCTCTCATATTTTCGGTTAATGGAAGATGCAAAAACGAAGGCCATAAGTCAGAGGAAACTAAGCTAGCTTTCATTATGTCGTATTTTTTCCCTTTTCGTACAACTGGTAGAACTTGTCGAAAATCACCTCTGAGAACTACTACTTTCCCACCGAAGAGCAAATTACAATTGGTAATATCTCTAAGCATTTTATCTGTAGCTTCCACAGCAGAACGATTGACCATCGGTGCTTCATCCCAAATGATTAATCTTGACATGTTCAACAAATTTCCTAAAGCTGATTGCTTGCTAACAGAACAGCTTATTTCACCAATTGTTTCCAAAGGAATTTTAAATCTTGAATGAGCAGTTCAACGTCCAGGTAAAAGAGATGCAGATACTCCAGATGATGTTGTTGCCAAGGCAATTAAATTTTGTGACCTTACACCACTTAGGAGTGCTTTATATAAAAAAGTTTTGCCCGTTCCACCCGGACCATCAATGAAGAAAGCACCATTGGATTCTAATTTAACTTTTTCCATGATTGTATCATATGCAAATTGTTATTTTTTATTTAATGTTGCTGCACAATCAAATCCACCTGGAGTATCAAAATGAATTGTCTCATCTTCAACCATTCTTCTCAACCTTTCAGTCTCATCTATATTTACATTGAATGACAACATTGCATAATCGTTTATGTTCTTACCTAATGATTCCAAAATAGAACTGATATCTTCTAAAGCTCGTAATTCAGCAACCTCTACAGATATATTTTGATGTACATAATCATCAATCATATAAACTTTAAATTTATCCCACAAGAGTTTTGGATGATTAGATTGCAAAGCGTAAGAAGTGTAGCAAAAAGTCGTCTTAAAGCAGTAGGCATCTCATACAAAATAGCTTCAGATATACATTCTTCACAGTTATTATCTCCGCTTAGTAAACCATGTAGAAGTGCTGCTTCTCGATATGTAGGAACAACTACACCGTTCAAAGTTCGTAAATCATTGAAAGATATTGGTCCTCTAATATGATTAAGAAGAATACGAAGAAAATATCATTCTCCTTCAAATGGGTTAGCCGTGACAATTCGTCCTATAACAACATGTTTTTTCCTAGGAGTCCAAACTTTGTTATTTGCATTCCAAACAAAATGTTTTGGAAAATCTCGATACAATAATGTACGAGCAAATTCGTTTGTTTCATTCATTCGAAAAAATTCAGTTAACATAGTTTTCCTCGTATTTTCTTTTTGAATAATAGTAAATAAATCATCTTCATCGGCATACGTTACTTGTTGATGATCCTCAATATGAAGCTGTAAAGAGTAAACAGATGGATAAATATCGGACAAATTGAAAGAAAAAATCCTCCACATAGCCTCAGGAGGAGATATCCATCTAGCAGATTGATAAGCTGAAATTTCATCAATTTCTTTGTTTGTTTCATTTGTATCTATACAAAAATTAATACGATCATGACCTTTGTACACATATTTGTAGAGATATTTAACGGCTTTGATAGAAGAACATACTTTAACATTAATATGACAGTCAAATTTAGCACTTAAATAAGGATTATATGGTACGATCCAACAATTGTCTAACATTTGACCTCTAACTTTAACAGAAATACCATTATTACGATGCCTGTACAATGGATAAGAGTCATCACCAAAAATAGTACTATTACAATAATCTTTCGGATATTTATTTTTACAACCTTTATTTGGTTCCATACACACATTCTTAGGATTTAGGTTTCCAAAAGGGCCATGCATATTATGTTTAACGATAATAGAATGCAGATAAGAATGTTTCTCCTTGTCAGGAATTTCACAGGAAACTATCTTATCAACATGTTCAGCACAACAAAATTTGTGACCACAGTTGAAAATTAACAATAGATGTGCATGAGGGAGTCCTCTTTTTTGAAATTCAATCATATATATATGAGCAATGACAGGGCCTAGTATATTTTTCTTATATAAATCATTTTTCAACTCCTCTAATTTTGCTCTAAAGATACGCGCAATTAGATCTGCTCGATTTTGAACATCATCATTGTGCTTTAGTTCTTTCTTAATTTCTGGCCAATTAGGATTACACGTTACAGTCAAAAATACATCTGGTTTTCCATAACGTTGACAATAGCCATTGCATCCATATATCTCCTTAGCAAATCTCTTGGATCACATGTAAAAGATTGTGGTAGAACAAACTTTCTTTCGATTTTGTACCCCATAGTCTCTCCACTTTCAACAATATCTACAATGCCTTGATAAAGTTCGGCACGAATTTTTTTTTTTGTTATTACGAAAATAATCTAGTCTAGTAGTTTCAATCTTAACATATATATCTACAACATATTATTGAAATAGTCTACCAGTATGAAGTAACACGAACTTACCAGGAAACCTGATTTGTAATTTGTACGAATAGTATTCTCGACAAGAGACTTGAGATCGTTTCTTTTTTTCATTAAGCACTACATCACATAAAAATAACACAATTTCAGTATTCATATTCATGTAAAGCAGTAAAATTGCAAAAGTCATTAATTTACTAAAATGTGCATGTATTAACCTGCATTCTCTTTTTCAAGAAGTTCATTTGCAGAATTCATTGCGCTAGGAAAAGCAATAGGGTCGGGCAAATGCTGAGGTGAGAAGCATGGGTTTCTATATCTCTTAATACCTTCGTGCCAGCCAGATTCTCCATATGGAAAGATCAAAGGATAATGTAAAGGATTATAACAACCATAGTAATAATGAACTTTGTGTGCTTTACCAGAATGACCATATATAGTAATATCATGAATACGGATATTCGCATTTTCATCATTTTCGACCCATACAGTAGCTACTTGAGACGCTGTAGGAGTATTAAAAACTCTTTGATCAACTCCTGGATCACATCTTATTTGTATCCGATGGTGTTGCAAATTAGGGATATTACTTAAAGACCTAAAGATTCTACTATATGGATTTACGGTTAGAATTTGCATTAAAAGAATCAAAGTAGATTCAACAAAGTTCTCTGAAATGTTCATACGATTTTGAAGCTAATTATCTGTATCATAAAAATATAACTGCATATAAGTAAGTACATTATTTTCTGGCATAAGTTGATTTACATAATGATATACTTGTCCCTGCACTCTAAATGTGTAAATACTTCTGTATGTTTTAAAAAGTTTTTTATCATACTTTACACCAAATGAAGTGAATGCAAAGTGGTTATTATATCCCCTTGCGATTTTTTTAAATTCCATACATATAAGTTCATTAGAAGTAAATAAGGTATACAGTTCAGTTGGTGATTCGAGCATAAAAAGCTTAACTTTTCCGTCAGAACAGCATAATCCTTTACTTTCTCTAAAAAATTTACATGCACCACAATATTTACAGTCAATACACGGTGGTAATAGATATGAAGTACTTGGTACATTCAACAGGTTTGGACTTCCTTATAATTCAGAATTGAAATTATCAATTGTTCTTTGGTTTGACGTTGAAGCTTCAAACTCATGATGTGTTGTAGATTCATGCATTTCAATAAGATCTAAGCTATTCTCTCCAAATGATATACGGTTATTTATCCTCTTTCGAAGATCAACGCGCTCAATTTGTAATCGATTGTATCGATCCCTTTCTCTCTGATTATGTTGTTGACGAATAAACAAGTGGTATGACTCGCTGTTTGTTTGAGAGGTAGCTTGAAGGTTAACTAAATCAACTTCTTCATCACCAGATGGTTCAAAAATATCCATCACAACACTAATACTTATTATAGAATAGTTGGACCTCAACTTTAGCTACAAGAACTGAAAGTATTAGAAAGAATTAATCCTACATATGTTAAAATATACATACAATAAAACTAAAGTTCACAATATGTAACAATAAGTAAAGATATATTTTAGAAGGAAAAAATAGTTTGTTCATAAAATGCACAAACGAAGCTCAATAACCAACAACCTATTACAAATTTTACAAGTTACCATAAATAAATAACCAAAATAAACATACTAAATAAACGTATGAACAAAAAATTGGATAGTTCAATTAGAAGAACTTACCCAAGATAGAGTGCGCTGCTACAGTTGTCAATTACAACAATCGAAAAATATAATTTAACACTGTACACATAAGAACAATAAATACAAATGAGAGTTTGCAATTTGTCAATAACAGTTGAATGATAAATACTATAATAAAAACCTTAGCAAAAAAATACAAACAGGCTATAAGATAAAAATAGAACTCAACAAAATCTAAAAAAGAAAACAAAAAATATGATACCTAAAGATAGCACAGTTCAATTGATGTTTAAATTTTTTTTATATTTTTACGCTGAGAATGATATCTTGCAACCTGGAACAAAAAATGAAAATAAATACAATATTAACGGAACCAATTAAGCCATGGAATCATGAAAATTATAATAAAAATTATTCATAACACTACAAAAATTTATTAATTCCAAAAAGTAAAAGCAAGAGAAGAAAATACACACAAAAATACAGCTAAAACTTTCAAACCTACAAGTAGAAATTAAGAAAACTGTAAGAATTCCTAGATGAGCAAGAATGTTTGAATATCTCTACAACATTTTCTTTTAATATTCATAAAAGCACTAAAAACAAATATTAAGCAAAACTTAAACTTCTGAGATAGATCAAAGTAGAGAAAGAAGAACCTAACTAAATTTTACGTGCTAACGGAAAGAATGACAACATTGTGAGCTAAAGTTGCAAAAAATAACAAAGAAATTCAGAGCGTAGTAAAGATTGAACAAAAATTTTATTTATTTTTAGCTAGATAAAAGTAATATTTCGAAACTTAGAAGTACAAACACCAACAAAAGTGTAAAAAATCCCTAATGAATCGAAAAATTTGCCAATATACTTACAACAACTTGTTCTCACATTGTTCACTTGCACTAAAACCTCTGAATCTCCACCCTTCACTTTTTCAATCACCTAGGCACGAAGGTTTTACTAAAGAAACATTAAATAATAAAATATTTGACATTAAAATATTCAAAACAGTTGGATTTGAATTTACTCCTGCTTTGTCACTTTCTCTCCTGCAGGCACACTTTCTCTTTACACAACTCCCTTGTGTTCATATGGTGTCTTAATTTCTTGCAAAAGCTTGATATATTTCGTATTTTTGTTTTGAAAATCCTCTTTCTCGTTGTAGTATACGTATACATAAACATTTTTTTTCTATTAAATAGAGCTAGAAAAACTAACAAACAAATGACAATGAAACAAAGATCTAGAAAAAGTTTGAGTTTATCACCTAGATCAAGGTAAACGGAAAACAAAATCAGCTATGAAATTGAGAATAACAAACTGGAAAATTGAGAGAGAAGGCTAAAATGAAGTCGAAGGCAAAAAGAAATAATGTTGGTAGAAAAGTCTGGATGTTTTTATGTTTGCACATATTTTTCAATATGACGTTGTTTCCATCCTAGATGAACAGTGGAAAACTCACTTTGTGAATAGTCGTGTGATAACGAGTCCAGGA